GTTAAATGTTTCTCTGCTTTTAGAGCTACCCACCATCACTGGCACCTGTGACCAGAACCAGTTTTACATCGGTGTGAAATACGGAAATCAAGGCCACAATTTCAAGGCAATGGTTGGCCCTCGAGAGCTTACAGCTGAGATAGCTGACGAATACAATTTCCAAGGAAACAGCACACACTTTAGCCTCATACTGCCATACACTGCCAAGGACACAGCGGTCGAGGTATGTCAAACTATAAAAGCTCATGATAAATTTGCTGCACTGGATAACTTCCCTTTTGTCTTACAGCTGATAACCTCGGATTCAGTCAGAACCCGAGTTGACTTGCTTCTGTTGGATCCCATCAACAACTGGGTGCTTTCTGATCTCTACCTGTCCTGCACCTTCCCCTTCATAAGAACCAGTAAGGCATACGAATTGCAGTATTTCTGCTGATTGGGATTGTAGGACACTTTCGTCACCCTTACCACCTCTATCCTCAGCGTGTAACCCCAATGGAACCATGACCGCTATGGCTGTGAAGGTGGAATCTGTGCCCAATCTCAGCCCAAGCAGGCTAACCCTAAAGGACCAGTCCTGCAAACCGGTGTTCAGTGACGATCGCTCTGCATATTTCTCTTTCAGTGTCGATTCCTGTGGAACCACTAGAACAGTAAGTGTTGGTTCACCTTAAATCTACGAATTATTTTCTTAAACATTCTAATGCCTCACTTTTTTGTTTTTTTTAGTTCTTTGACCACTACATGCTGTATGAAAATGAGATTGGCCTGTATTACAACAACAAAGGAGTAGCCTACATATCACCGGTTGATCCGGAGTACAGGTAAAGGGACTCGTACAATCTTTTATACTGACATGCTGTCTAGTGAGGGGTCAACACCTACAGTGTATTTTTCTCCTATAGACAGACCGTTTCCTGCTACTACGTGGTCAATGAGACTCGGACTGTTGCATTCAGCTCTAAACCAAGACGCTATGAACCCACAGCAGAGATCGGCTCAGGGCAGCTGATGGCGCAAATGAGGCTAGCCCAAGGTAAGGTTGACTTTATAAAACGCCTATCTTGTTTTTGCAAGACTGTACACCGTCTGGCTGGCCCATGCCTTTTACTAATGTGACTCTACTCTTCCAGATTCATCATACAATCTCTTCTACCAAGCAGAAGATTATCCAGTTGTAAAATATCTGAGGCAGCCTCTGTATTTTGAGGTGGAGCTGATTGAGTCTACTGACCCAAATCTGGAGCTCATTGTGGAGAAGTGTTGGGCTACACTTTATGATGACCGGACGTCTCTGCCTCTCTGGGATATCATTGTGGATGGGTAAATGGCAGCATACAACTTAGTGCCACCTTCAGTTTTTCTCTTTATTGAAAGCAATCTGTAAATTCAGGTTGATTTGTGACAATCTCTGAAACATAATCCAAATGTCATGGGTTTAACTAAAAGCATTCAGAAACTTGTTTTATTCTCTCCCCAGCTGTGAGAATCCTGATGATAGCTATGTGACCATTTTCCATCCTGTTGTGAGCAACACCAGGGTTCTGGTCCCAGCCCACATCAAACACTTCTCTATAAAGATGTTCACCTTCACTAAAGAGGAGGCGGTTCTGAAAGATGAGGTAAAGTGGGACTGTTGTAACCAAATGAAGGCCACATTGCACGGTACAGCTGCATGTAGCCCTGCGTAATAAACCCATCTGTCTGCAGATCTATGTCCACTGTGATGCAGTGATTTGTGATTCAAACGGCCAATTGGATGGTTTGTGCAGAGGCCAGTGTGTGCAACTTACACGCCAGATTTACTCCAGACCGCAAGAGATAAAAGGAGTAGGACGGGGTAAGTGTAATCTGGAAAAACATTTTGTCAACCAAATCCACATGGATTAGGTCATCTTCACTCTTTTCTTTCTAGGGCAAAGAGGAACAGACTCTACTCAGCAAAGGCAAATCTCCACTGGGCCTATTGTGTTAACATCTGATCGAACTTCTGAATAAACAAATTTCTTTAAACTTTTGTGCAGTCTTTTCTTTGCTCAATTTGTATCAAAGCTTCGGGAAGTCTTTTGTCTTAACCCTGCATTATAAAAGTCATAGTCAAGATGGCCACTTTTCTTTGAGGAGAGCAGTTTTATTTTGGCACTTTAAAAAAAAAAAAAAATTGCTGCAGCCTTCACTGGTTAATGTAACTTTTTTTTTTTTTTTGCCACCAGCTTGCGGTTACAAGGGGGGCTATAAAAAATGATACAGCAGCAAATGACTAAAGATATAGTTTAATGTCTGAGCAGAGAATGAAGTCATTCTCCCTTTGTGTAGGTTATCTGTTGTTGACATAGCTGGGCCGGTGGCACACAAGTTAGTGTGTGCATGTTGTATACACTGTAAAAATTAACAAGTTAACTTATAAAAAATTCCAGCCTTAAAATATGGAGTTTGGAGTATGCCTCTAGGGGTGCTGGGGTTGAGTAACGTTAACTTTTGAGCAGTGCAGAGTTACTGTGGAAATTGAAAGACTTGAACGGCACAGGTTCAATTCAGATTGTGATGTCATTAATTAACCCAGAATATGGTTTTTGAACACTGGAATTTTATTAGGCTTAATGTATCTGGCTAAATTTAAATTGTGTAACTCCTCAAACCCGACACTCGGGAATGATCAGCCTCATGTGATTGAATTAAATGATGTAAAGTGTTTCTCTCCAGCTCTGAATTTAATTGTATCCATAATGAAGTTATTGAGGGAAATATCGGATCATGAAAAGACAAATCTTTCTAATTGAAAGTTGTTTGTGGTCCTTCTGTTCAGACCTACAGTGAACATCTATTTAAACCAGATGTTGAATCCAAAAACTAATCTAATATAAAACTAGTTTAATCTGTGATCTGTCTTCACTCTGGTATGAAACTTCAGTCAGTCTGATCAGCTACAGCGTCCAATCGCATAACTGACGAACAATGAGGGGGCGTGTCGGCCGTTAAAACACTTCCTGGAAGTCTGTTCTCGTGCGTCCTCTCTCCTCCGAGCAGAAATAAGAGCTTTAGGATGGCCGTCAATATGGCGGAGCAGAACAACTTCCGGTTCAAGCGAGGAAATGACAAGAGACTTGGGATGTACCCTGTTTCTCACAGTGAGCTGATGGCAGAGCAGAGAGTTGATCCCTCTCAGAGCCAGCAGATGGACCACCTCCCATACACTAGATGTCCCTGTTGTGCATGTGGTTGTCTGTTGCAGGTGCTGAATGGTGGATCATCAGCTGTATGAGACACACCTCAGCCGGTGTCTGCTCTGCCCTTAAATAAGCCTTCATTCAGCTGCCTTGGTCTCTCTAGGGGAAGATCCTTTGTGTCACCGGCATGACACAGTTGCTCTGGTTTATGTTTGAGTTCTGTTCCTTTGTACACACTGCCACACATCCATTTCACTACTGATACCTCCGAGTTACATTGTTTTACTTATGTTTGTTGAAAATAAATTGCTTCTTCTTAGCAGCCAGGTCGTTTGTCTCCCTGTTTTGTTGCAGTCTCCGACAAGGCAGGTTACTTTTTCAGGAATAGTTCATCTTAATTGCAATGTTAAGTTAATTAACAAAATTGAACTGGGTAATTTGCCCACACAAATTAAGCTTCTATTTTCTAACAGTACTACGTAAAAAAGATTCAACAGCGAAGAATATTCTGAATGCTAATCAATTTCAAAACATACAGTGGCATTTTTTTTATGAATCTACTTTTAGTATCAAAACATAACCATGAGGCATAGCTGAATATGGCAATGCCACATATTAAACATGTTTGTCCAGCTCTTAACAGCTAATAAAACTGTATGGAAAATATCCTTAATGATGTGCTTTAACCATACAAGAACTGTCAAGGTATAAATGCAAGAATAGTGAAATATAAAAGCCTACTGCTTTACCATTAACTTGGTAAACGTCTTGTTTTGGAATGCATGACCTTTGGCAAAACAATTGCCACAACGAATGCCCTTGTATTAGCTCAAATATATGTCAGTCCTTTGGGATGGTCTGTGTTAAAGCAGCACAGATGACCCATCAGTGTTGCAAAGGAAACCAAATCTGAGGCCATGGTTCTCTGCCGGAAACCGGTGGATTGCTCCCTCCAGGTGGGGACGGAGTGCCTACCTCAAGCGAAGGAGTTCAAGTATCTCGGGGTCTTGTTCACGAGTGAGGGTAAGATGGAGCGGGAGATCGACAGACGGATCGGTGCAGCTGCAGCAGTAAAGCAGGCGCTGCACCGGACCGTCTTGGTGAAGAGGGAGCTGAGCCGGAAGGCAAAGCTCTCAATTTACCACTAGGTCTACGTTCCTACCCTCACCTATGGTCACGAACTCTGGGTCGTGACCGAAAGGACAAGGTCGCGG